GGAAAACTGGGAATAGAACCACCATTTGACCCAGCTATCCCTCTCCTCAGTCTATTTCCAAAGGACTTAAAAACAGCATACTACAGGGACACGGCCACAACAATGTTTATAGCAGCACAATTCACAATAGCTAAAATGTRGAACCAACCTAGATGCCCCTCAGTAGATGAATGGGTTAAAAAAATGTGGCATATATACACAATGGAATATTAGCAATAAAAAGAGAATAAAATCATGGCATTTTCAGGTAACTGGATGGTGTTGGAGAAAATAATGCTGAGTGAAGTTAGCAATCCCCAAAAAACAAATGCTGAATGTTTTCTGTGATATAAGGTGACTGACCCATAAATGGGGTAGGGAGGGGGAGCATGGGAGGAATAGACAAACTCTAGAGGGCAGAGGGGTGGGAGGGGAAGGGAGAGGGCAGGGGGTTAGCAATGATGGTGGAATGTGATAGACATCACTATCCAAAGTACATGTATGAAGACATGAATTGGTGTGATCATACTTAATATACAAACAGAAATAGGAAAAATTGTGCTCTATATGTGTAATAAGAATTGTAATGCATTCTGCTGTCATGTATTTAAAAATAAAACCAATTAAAAAAGAGAGATGGGGGAAAAGTAGAGGGATATTTTGTTGCAGGAGTAACTTTTTTTCAAAACTAGAAGCTATACTATTTTGATTTGGGTAGAGTATAGATCTTCAAAGTCCCCATCCCCACCGCAGCAAGGCATGGTGGCATACATCCTCAGCTACTCAGGAAACTGAGGCAGGAGGATCTTATGTTTATGGCTTAACTGAGCTACTTAGCAAGACCCTGTCTCAAAAGAAAAAGGGTTGGGGATATCACTCAAAGATAGTGTCCCTTGGTTCAGTTCTCAAAAAGATTTTATAGTGTTATAGAGCACAGAGAATGCAATAGAAAATGTCAATATCGAATGTGATATTAGGCTTCAAAACACTGTTTCTTAATGTGATTCTATATAAAGCTAAGGAAATGACACCAAAATTCAGCTCAGTTAACAAGAAGTCAACACTTTGGGGACCAAGATTATCTGTATATACTTTTCTGATGGTCTAGATTAAAATGATAACATTTAGAATGTAGAGAAATGAAGACTATTCAGGAAGCCTGATGTTTCAAGTCATATGAAGAAATTTATAAAAAATTAAATCCAATGGTTCTGTTCTCTGGCAAGGGTCTAAAATGATCAGGTATTCTGTTTCTGATTAAGGGCAAGTCAAGAGCAAAACAATAGATGTTAAAATTGAAATATTTTTGTGGAATTGAGAAGTCTAACCATACTTTTCTCAACTTGATTGTTATCTTGCTCCTATCATCGAAGTATGTTTGCAATATCAATAGATAAAAAAAAGGATTTCTCTTAAAAGTACTGTTATTCACTATAGTCCATGATGATGATTTGATCAAAATTCTTACATTTGAGTATGGGAGAGATTATTTTAGCCTGGAAAAAGAGGTTGAGGCAGGAGAATCACAAGTTCAGAGCTGGCCTCAGCCTCAGCAAAAGTGAGGCAGTGAGACCTTATCTCTAAATAAAATAAAAAATAGGGCTGGGGATGTGGCTCAGTGGTTGAGTGCCTCTGAGTTCAATTCCCTGTTACCCCCCCCCCCCAAAATTTTCCCTCTTTTTTCTCCCAGGCCTCCACATACCCACTCTTAGTTTATAATATAGTTTCCTTCATTTGTTTAATGTACTGCAGTTTTGTAACATTTTGTAACATTGTTGCTAACTGAACAATCAGCACTAAGGGAGATAAATCAAGAATGTAATATAGACAATTTTGATAGGACAGGGGACTGACAAAAGATTTTTAACAAATCCAGAGAACAGAGCAAGAGGAAAACAAAAAGTTTTTTCTGTAGGTTAAATGTGGGATAATTTGGGGGTACAGCAGCATAGTTCCTTTTATACCTTTAAAAATCTTCAGAGGACTAAGGTGTAGCTCTAGGTAGAGCACTTGTCTAGCATGTACAAGATTCTGGATTTAATCCCCAGCACAGTAAAATAAGTAAGTAAAATAAAAAGTTTCAGCCAGGTGTGGTGGTCTCCTGTAATCCCAGCGTCTCAGGAGGCTGAGGTAGGAGGATCACAAATTCAAAACCAGCCTCAGTAATGGCAAGATGCTAAGCAACTCAGCGAGACTCTGTCTCTAAATAAAATACAAAATTGGACTGGGGATGTGGCTCAGTGGTTGAGTGCCCCTGAGTTCAATTCCTGGTACCCCTTCTGTACCCCCCTACCCCACCCCGAAAAAAAAAAAAGAGATAATTAAGGATCTTTATAATCTGAAGTGGGGAGAAAGAATCCATCTCCCATCACCACTAAAGTCACAAGTTTTTGCTTTTTTGTTTGGTGGTGCTAGGGATCAAAACCAGGGCCTCACACAACCTAGGCAGGTCCTCTTTAGCTGAGTTACATCCACAGCCCTCTTTTAGTTGGCTTTATCATAGTCAGCTTTTTAAAGAACAGATAGTATACAAAAAGAGAGAACTTACATATATTAATTTCTTAATTTCCTGTTGAGTTCACATGTTTCTGAAGGTTCTGCTCTTTTTTCTCTATTCCTGGCAGAAACATGGTCTTATTCTTTTCTGTTTTTATCAGATTTCATTCAACAGCAGGTTTCCTTTGTTGCCCAGGCTGGACTCAAACTCATGGGCTCAAGTGATCCTTCTGCCTCAGCCTCCTGACTAATTGGTACTAGAGGCATGTACCACCACACTTGGCTTCCAGATTTCACTTTTAATAGACCCCAAAACATCTAGTTGTTATTGCTTCTTAGTGGTTGAAAAAAATATTTCCTAGCCTCCCTAGCCTTGACAATGTGATTTAATTTTGCATTTTCTGACTGAATAGTTTAAAATACTATAGTATTTTAATGGCTTCCATCTCCCTCTTTCAATAGTAACTTTCTTGTTGGTTTCAGGGGTTCAACTAGATATAGCTTCACAGTCTCTGGACCCAGAAGTATTTTTAAAAGTTAAATCTGAAATTGAAGAAGAGCTAAAATCCCTGGACAAAGAGATTTCTGAAGGTCTGTTTATTCTTATTTTCCTAGTCAATTAGCAGATTCTTTCTGGTTAGTTTGGTTTTCTGTGGCTTAGTTTGATTTTCATAGTAAGTTATTCTCAACATTACACAACTTAACTGGTATGGGATTATAAGGATATGAAACTAGAAGGTAGCCTTTTTTTCTTTTCCTGGGGGACATATTTGTAAGTTTCTCAACTATACCCTACCATTTAGATGTAGCCTTCTCTGGTTTTAAGCAATGAATTAAATGATGTTAAGGTTCTTTCCATTCAATATGATTTGATTTATATTTGGTAACTTTATAACTAATAACAGCATGAAAGAGAGAGCTTCTGGTTTTTACATGTATATAAGCTATAGAGTGTTATAGTGTAAGTATCATTTTCTAGCCACATATTTTGCACTGAACACTACTTCATCTTAAGTTTTAAAAATAATTGTCATTCTACTAGCTGTGTGAAATTATAATCATTAAATGAACATTTACCCAATTGTTCCTTTATTATTTTTTTTTTAAGAGAGAGTGAGAGAGGAGAGAGAGAGAATTTTTTTTTTTAATATTTATTTTTTAGTTCTTGGCGGACACAACATCTTTGTTGGTATGTGGTGCTGAGGATCGAACCCGGGCCGCACGCATGCCAGGCGAGCGCGCTACCGCTGAGCCACATCTCCAGCCCTGTTCCTTTATTATTGAGAGGAGCATTTGGTTACTTCCTGTTTTGCCTTCCACAAATAATTCTACGTTGAACGTTTTGCTCAGTGATTTTAAAAAATGACTTTATTGAGGTATATTTTACATACCCTAAAATTTACCCATTTAGAAGTTGCAGTTAAGTGGTTTTTAGTATATGCACAGAATTGTGTAACCATCCCATAATCTAAATTAAGAATACTTTCAACTCTACAAAAAGAAATACTGTGTAGATTAATAATCACCTCCACTAACCCCACCCCAGTCCCACCCAAAGCAACCACTGATCTGCTTTCTATTTCTGTGACTTTGCCTATTTCAGGTATATCTGTACATGGAATCATGTACTATGTGGTTTTTTTGTGACTGACTTCTTTTACTTAGCACAAGGTTTTTAAGGATCATTCATGTTGTAGCAGGTATCAGTATTTCATTRTTTTTTGCTGTTGAATAATATTCCATTGTATGGATATGCCATATTTTGTTTATCCATTCATCAGTTGATGGACATTGATGGACATGGAAGTTGTTTCCAGTTTTTCACTATTATGTATGATGCTGCTATGAATGTTCTTGTACACATTTTTTTAGAGCTTTATAATTATACACAGTAGTTGGATTCATCCCAACAAACTCATACATGCATGGAAATTGATTACCCTTTTCCTTCCCATCCCCCCTTCCATCCCCCATTCTCCTTCCTCTGCTCTACTAGAATTTGTTTTACAGTACTGGGGATTGAACCCAGGGCCTTGTGCAGGCAAGGCAAGCACTCTACCAACTGAGTTATATCTCCAGCCCACTACCTAATAATCTTTAATGAGCAAATTTATCAATCATGTTTATAAATCAGTTACCTGTTAGTACAGAAAGAATCTGAATAGAAATATATAAATAATCCAAAAGCCTGTTGATCTTCTCTTTTATATTCATTTTATCAACTTTTTAAAAAAATGGTATTGGAGGTTGAACCCACAGCTTTGTGCATGCAAGGCAAGAACTCTATATCTATATCCCCAGCCCTTCATTTTATCAACATTTTAATTTATTAAATTTCCAGTTCTCTCTTAAGTCTTGATACACAGTCTCTCCCCCCCCCCCCCCTTTTGAGATGAGGTCTCACCAGGTTGCCCAGGCTGGTCTCTAATTCCCAGGCTCAAGCACTCTTCCCACCTTAGCCTCTTAAGTAGCTGGGACTAGAGGTCAGCCACAGCACCCAGTTTCTTCATGAACATTTTGATATTAGAAGTGCTGCATAATAAAATGGGCAAAAGGGAGAAAGGAAAAAAGAGCAACAAAAGGTGTAAATATAATCTCTAAGTCCCATATTATCCAGAGCTAATCATTAAAATGAATACTCTAGGGGCTGGGGTTGTGCTAGAAGTAGAGCACTTGCCTAGCATGCGTGAGGCACTGGGTTCGATTCTCAGCACCACATAAAGTAAAATAAAGACATTGTGTCCATCTATAAGAAAAAAAAATAAGTATTTAAAAAAAAGAATACTCTAAAGCTTGCTCAGACATCTAAGTAATTATGAACTCTGTAGGCATTTGCATCTTTCTTGAATGTAAGCAAGGTGTATTAAAATTTGCAGCCTTCTAGGAACAAGCCAAGATGAATGCACAGCATTTTATGAAAATAATTGGTAACTCTGAGGAGTGGGTGTAAACTACTTGCTTTACTGGGATTCTGTGCTTACATCCAGCTTGCACCCTAAAATGACAGTCATTCTCCCTATTCTTCCTAGAGTCAGGGAATGGATAAGTCTCTATAACATGAAGTTGAGAAATAGAGAAGCTGGTAATTTGAACTAAGAAGAGGTAGAATATGATTATGATTAGTTTTTCCATATTTGGCTCTTATATTACCTTCATAGTTTTAAAATTTATCTGTAGAAATAATTGAGATAGAAAGTTCATTTTAATAAGAAATGAAAGCAATGGACTCATTTTCTGAGTTGGAATACACTCATCATAGAGTGTGATTTAAGAAGTGGTGCATTTATAAAAGCAAAAACAAAACCTTAAAAATAAATATCAAGAGAAGAATAATAGAGCCTAGAGTTAGCTCTCATTTATTATTCTTATGCTAAATTGGCCAGTAGGCATAAACTAAATTGGTTAGATATTCCCCCTCTGTGCTGGGGATAGACCCAGGGCCTCTCCCATGCTAGGATTCCAGTAAGCAATATCCATAGCCCTGTTAGTGTATTTTGACATGTCAGTATAGTTGCTTTCTTCTTTTAAAACTGATTTTCCATTAAAACTCTGCCTTTAAAAAAACTCTAAAAATTAAGCACACTTATTAAAATTGTATTTGTTTTTTATGGCTGAAATAAAGTCATGTAAGTAAAAAAAAAAACTCTAAATTTAGAACCTATCAACTTTTATATTCAGATAAGATTAATATCTATAATGCTTATCTGACCTTTATAAGTGGTTATAATTATTAACTTTTTTCTAATATTAAATATCTTAGTCCCATGAGCTTTTTTAGTACAGCTTTTGATATTATTTACTAAATTGGTTTTTCTCTTGCCTTGTCTTCAGCCTTCACCAGCACAGGCTTTGACCGTCACACTTCTCCAGTGTTTAGCCCTGCTAACCCAGAAAGCTCAATAGAAGACTGCTTGGCCCATCTTGGAGAAAGAGTATTGCAGGAACTGAAAGAACCTCTGCATAAAGCATTGCAAATGCTCCTCAGCCAGTGAGTTACCATTGCTGAGTGGGAATGTGCTTCTCTAAGTAGTCTCGGATCTCTCATGCGGCGCTGGATTGGTTAAGGCTTTGTTTTAGGTGAACAGTGTCATTTCTTTTCTCACTTTTCTTCGCTTTTTTTTCTTTTGCTTTCCCAAAGCATCTCTGTGTTTTGAATGACAACTTTGCCTCTAAGTAGTGATTTAACTGTTCCGACAAAGATTTGATGGTTTGTATTATTTATTGAGCTATCAGATTTCAATGGATGCATTTAACCATGTTGTAAACACAAGCTATTGCACTTGTTCTGACCACTTTTTACTATGGTTCTTTCTAGTTGGCCAACATAGATATAATTGCTGGGGTTTTATGCATTATAATTTGATATCAGCATTATATTTTAGATTGTATTTAAGATTATATCCATATCCCAGATATCGCTAAACTTTAGGACTTCTGTCCATGGAACTACTTTCACATTCTTTTTTTTTTTTTTAATTGTAGACAATATTTGTATTGTCTACAATAAAAATATTTTAAAAATATATTTTTGTTTTTAAATATTTTTATTTTACTTATTTGTTTTTATGTGGTACTGAGGATCGAACCCAGTGCCTCACATGTGCTAAGCAAGTGCTCTACTACTGAGCTACAAACCAGCCCTACTTTCACATTCTTAAAGTAGACTTCCTTCCTAGCTATGCATCAACCATATTAAAGCTAGAAACTTATTAATAAAAATGAAAGTATATTAAAATAGAACAAATTCATTTGTTGTAAATCTTAAAAGTTATTTTTTTCTAGTTCTTTGCTGACAATTATTAAGGAATTGATGTGAGTAAGCGACATATTTATCTTAATGAAGATTGACAACTTTATAAAATAGGAAGAAGACTGTTGTTTATTAAAAGGGCCAAAATTCAGATGCTAAATTACTGTTGTAGTACTTTACTACAACAATAATTTCTTACTTTTATGTAGGGACAATTTATATATTTGTTGCAAGGAAGCAATTTTAGGAGAATTCAGTTAAATGAATAAACCGAAAACTCCTAATTATACTTAGGGAAATGAAATCATATTTGAAATTTTTTTAAAATATATATTTTTTTAGGTGTAGTTGGACACAACACAATGCCTTTATTTTTATGTGGTGCTGAAGATCAAACCCGGGTCCCGCCCGTGCTAGGCGAGCTCTCTACCGCTGAGCCACAATCCCAACCCCATATTTGAATTTTTTAATCTTAAAAAGTTTGTTTAAGCCAGGCATGGTGGCTCATACCTGTAATCTCAGTGACTCAGGAGGCTGAGGCAGGAGGTTTGCAAGTTCAAACCCAGCCTCAGCAACTTAGCGTAAACAACTCAGTGAGACCCTGCCCCCTATTTAATAAATAAATAAATAAATAAATGAAGCCAGGAATATGGCTCAACAATCCCTGGTACCAAAAAAAAAAAATTGTTTAAAGATAAAAGTAAAAGAAATATATAGGTGCCAGGAAATAGAACTTAAATAGGAAATGTGGATCAAAATAGTGATGTCAAAAAGTGTTCAGTGGAGCCTTAAGCACTGAGGTTGCTATAGGAGCCCCTGAAAAGGTAAGGGGTAGATTGAGTTAGTGGGGCTTATTAGGACCACTCTACTCTTCTTAAGCCAGGATGCTATACTTCCATATGTTTTTTATATATGAAGTTTCATGTAAGGTTTGAAGAAAGAAATTTGCAACTTTGACAAAAAGGAAACCAAAACAAAAAAACCTTGTAAAAGCTATTGGGAGTAAAATAATTAAGTGATAAGGCACAGGCAAAAGATTCTGTTTCTAATTTGATGGAAACCATTTATGGCTTTGAAACCTTTTCATTCTTTTTTTTTTTTTTAAATATTTTTTAGTTGTTAATAGACCTTTATTTATTTATATGTGGTGCTGAGAATCAAACCAGTGCCTCACACATGCCAAACAAGTGTGCTATTGCTGAGCCCCAGCCCCAGCCCCTGAAACCTTTTCATTCTTTATGTCAGTTTTTTCATTTGTTAACTTTAACTTTGCTTTGATAATATCAACTTTTCCAAGAAGAGTATCATATAGTTGTTTTTTTTTAATATTGTTCCTGGAGTCTTTTTGTAATCTACAGAAAAAAATTTGATCTCATCTCACTATAAATTATGTTTGCAAGAAAATTGGTTTAGATGAATGTTTTCCCAAGCCTTGAATACCAGTGCAGTTATTTTAATATATTTTAGTTGTCAGTGGATCTTTATTTTTTATATGCGGTGATAAGAATCGAACCCAGTGCCTCACACATGCTAGGCAAGCACTCTAATGAGCCACAACCCCAGCCCCAGCATAGCAAAGTCAGATCTTCCTGTGAATAAAATTTTTTCAGAAGTCTACTTTTGAAAGTTTTAAATTTTGTTACTAATACCTTGAAAATAACTAACTGGTGATATATTAGAAGTATTATACAGGTTGAAGGCAATATCTTAAGGTGGAAAATACCATCTACTCCTCCAAACAGTTTTGTTAAAGTAGGAAATTACAGTAATGCTGAACTCTTCATGCGGAACACCAGCAATTTTAAAAGGTACCCACCTCTCTTTTTTTTGCTCTAAGGCCTGATTAGGTTATTCATCTTCTTAACTTTTCTATGTATTAGATTTTTTTGAATGTTTTAAGCTGCTGCATCTCTTATGTGTACATGTAATGTTTCAAATCATGTTTCATTCTGAAGGATGCTAAAGTACTTTAGCCTGATAGACATGCTACCTATAAGGACTACTGTGACCCACAACAGCATCAAACAGTTCAGGAAAGGAAGTGAAGGGACTGATGTACACAAGTAAAACTTCAGGGAGAATATAGGTAGGTAGACTACATAGTATCTACTGAAGTTCAAGCTTTACAAGAATGTAGTGTATACTCCATGGCTTCTTGAAAAAATACTAAGCTTACTTTAATGAGAATGTGATATCAGGAAGGTAGTACATACTGTATCCATCTTACCATTAAAAAGATCATCCCTGGTATTTCAGTATCACTCTAATATTGATTTGATATTGATGTGTATAAAAGATTTTATGTATGTCTTCAGAACTGTTTTCTGAAATATCTAAACCAGTGCTATTCAGTAAATGTAATGCAAATCAAATATATGCAATTAAAATTTTTTTGGCAGCCGCATACAAAGTATGAAATTAATTTCTAAAATTTAATAATATATTTTCAGCCTAGTACATTCAAATTTCATTTTAACACATACTCAGTATAAAAAATTATTAGTGGGATAGACTACATTCTTTTTACTTACTGTTTAAAATTCAGCGTGTAGATTATATTTTCAGCACAACATAGCCACATTCAAATGCTCATTAGCCATATGTGGCTTTGAGACATTGTCAAGGCTTTTGTCAAAATCCTCACTTGAAATGGGAGCAGTGTGACCTTTGGAGTCAGATCTAATTGAGCTTGAATTCCTACTTTGTTCTTTCTAGCTTTGATATGTGATATAAAATATACATACATAGAAATATTCTACCTATCATAATAGGCTATCAATAAATTGTAACTGTTATCAATCTTAAATATTCATAGGCTGAAGAAATCAGACCCCGAGTGGTCAGAGCAGAAAATGCCTTTGAAGTGGAATTTTAAAGTCCTATAGAGAGCTAAAAGTGTAGCTTAATGGTAGAGAGCTCATCTAGCATGTGTAAAACCTTGGTTTGATTCCCAGCACTATACACGAAACAAACAAAAAAGCTCTAAAATCCTACAAAAGCAAGACTTCTTCACTCCTTTTTACATGTCTGTTAACACTTTGCCCAAAACGGGATTGGGGGTCTTGAATCTATTATCCAAGCTATTGATGCCTTTATGTCTTATTTAGCACAATTTTTTGTGTTTGTTTAATTTGCACATGAGATCAGTGTTTAAAATATAGTACTTTAAAGCCCTTCAACAAATTAATGAGACTTTGCTGTCATCACTCAGTGATTTCAGGATTTTTTTTTGTCTGTTTTTTTGTTTTGTTACTGGGGATTGAACCCAGGGGTGCTTTACCACTGAGTCATATCCCTAGCCCTTTTTATTTTTTATGTTGAGACACGGTTTCAGTTGCTTAGGCCCTCACTAAGTTTCTGAGACTGGCCTCGAATTTGGAGTCCTCCTGCCTCAGCCTCCCAAGTTACTGGGATTACAAGCATACGCCACCACACCTGGCAATTATTTAGTTTTTTTTTTTTTAATATTTATTTTTTAGTTCTCGGTGGACACAACATCTTTGTTGGTATGTGGTGCTGAGGATCGAACCCGGGCCGCACGCATGGCAGGCGAGCGCGCTACCGCTTGAGCCACATCCCCAGCCCCTGATTTAGGTTTTTGATATGATTAGAACTTGCATGTAAATAATCAGGCTAATTTCCTTGCCCTCCAGGATTCTATGTTTTTATTATTGTTATTTTCTGATCCCTCCAGGATTTTATATCATAAGACTACAAGTTAAAAATAGGATACCAACTAATTATAACAAATAAAATAAATAGGGCACCAAGCCAGGCATGATGGCACATGCCTTTAATCCAAGCAGCTTGGGAGGCTGAGGCAGGAGGATCATGAGTTCAAAGCCAACCTCAGCAACTCAGCAAGACCCTGTCTCTAAATAAAATATAGTGGTTAAGTACCCCTGGGTTTAATCCTCAGTACCAAAAAAAGAAAAGGCACCAATTTTTGACATTATTTATTCTAATTTCTTGTATCCTTAGTTTGAAAATCTTCCAGTAACATGTGTCTTTTTCTTTTTTTTTTTAGAAAAATTTTTTGGGTTGTAGATGTACACAAATCTTTATTTTGTTTATTTATTATAATGTGGTGCTGAGGATCAAACCCAGTGCCTCACACTTATTATTCAAATGCTCTACCACTGAGCCACAATCCCAGCTCCAGTAACATATTTCTTTAGTTCTTAAATATTATAGATGTTTTGGCTTTTAAAAGTGTTAAAATTATACTTTTAATTTTATTTGTTGTTATTTGATATTAATAACCCAAGTATTTATCTGCAACATAAATAAGTTCTATCAGATAATTTCTAAGTAATTACAAAAAAATTTATTAGATGGTACATTTATCTTACTATTTTAATAACTACTTTCCCAAATATGCATCTAATGCTATAGAATGCTTGGAAAAAGTGCAGCCCAAATACTAAAAACCATATCTTATATAAAACAATATGTTGAATAATCTTAGTCACTTTAGCAAAAGATTCAACAAAACAATAGTGTCTTTATATTTATTCATCTGAAAATTTAGAATTTTTCGTTTTTGTGACACAGACTTTTAAAAAATTCTCTACAGGCCAGTGACATATCAGGCATATCGTGAATGTACACTGGAAACCGCAGTTCATGCCAGCGGCTGGAGCAAGGTATTAACCAATTATCTTTATTCTTACAAGATTTTAGTGTGATAATGGTAAAGTATAGGAGGAATCATTAGTGTATTACATTAAGAAAGTGTTAGAGCTCTTTAATGCGTAAATATAACTATGTTAAGTGGATATTTCTTATTTAATTGTTGTTTTGATTAATGCTACTTCTGCTTGGCCCAAAAATATGTCCCTCATAGTATGTTCTCCTTCCTTTCTGCACACTCTGAATTTCCCATCATTTCTTCATTTCCTTGTATTAGAGGTGACTTTTATCTCCATATGGTTATTTATTAAAATTTGAGTATATCTTGGAGAAGACTGACTTCATTTGAGAGATATCTTCTTCTTGTTTTCTTAACTAATATCATTTGTGTCTTATAGTTTGAAAGTATTTTGTGTCACATCCCATCTGATTATCACGACCATCGTTTTAAGAAGGCAGAATGAATTTTATTAGATTTTTGTGTTGTTTATTAGGTCAGATGACTAATCAGGGAAAAAAAGAAAGAAATTGCCTAGGTCTTCTTAACTAATAAATATTGGAGCCAACACTAGATCTAATTTAGAAAATTTTAACCTCAGAGGGGTTTTTTTTGTTGTTGTTGTTGTTTGCTATACCATACTGTTTGTCCATTATCTTAGACTGTATTTTCTACTTATCACCTTGGAAAGGTGAGTATAAGAGGATATAATATGAAGAAGTATGGCCCCGAGGTGATTTAGCATCAGGGAGGAAAAATTTCAGCACCAATATTTTTACAAATAGTCACCTCTACTCAGAGTTCTTTGTACAGTCATTCCTATATAGTATTCAGTATGCCTAGAGGATTGTTTACAGGACCACTCTCAGATACCAAAATTCGTTATGTTCAAGTTCCTTGTATAAAATGGTGTAGTATTTGCATATAACTCTATATGCACTTCTCCTGTGTCCTTTAAATCATCTCTAGATTACTTAATTTAACTAATACACTGTAAATGCTGTATAGGTACTTGTTATACTATATTGTTTATAGAATGACAAGGAAAAACATCTGTGCATGTTCAGTTCAGATGCAGTTTTCCAAATATTTGCAGTCCAAGATTGGATATAGAACCCAAGGATATGGAAGGCTGGCTGTAAATAGGTCAGACAGTGTGACCATATGTGCCTAATTGATGTATATTAGGTATGCAATCTGATTTATTTCAAATCTCAGCTTTTTAAAAAAAAATTTAATTGGTAGTCAATATTGTTTTTATCATGTACAACATGGTGTTTTGAAGTGTGTATACATTGTAGAGTATTTAAATCTAGCTGATTAACAAATGTGTGACCTCATTTATCATTTTTGTGGTAAAAACACACACTCACCCTCTTCACATTTTTCAAGAATGCAATATATTGTCATTGATTATGGTCATCATGCTATGCAATAGATCTTTTGAAATATATTCCTCCTATCTAATGATAATTATGTATCCTTTGAACAAGGTCTCCCTATCTCTTTCTCTTCTTAACTATTGCAGTCTCTTGTAACCATTACATCTCCTTGTTTAACTAGATGTGCTTCTTTGAGATCAAAATTTTTTTATTTTCTCAAACATCAGCTTTATCACAGATTAAATTTATATAGGCAGGTTAATTAAGCTTTCTGAATCTTAGTTTTCTCATCTGTGAAATGGAGATAATACTACTAACTTTATACATTTAATTAGAACTAGTTGAGGTTATATGTGTAGCACATTATCTGTCACCATAAAAAGCATTCAGTAAAAGGTAAAAGATTTATACCATGTGAAGAGAGACCAGAGTAGTATTATAAGCACTCAGCAAACAGCAGCTAATGTACTAGTTTCTGTTTTTGTTTTTCAGTGCTTGGGATGAAACGCAGGGTCTTACACATAGTAGACAAGCGTGATACCACTGAGCTTCAACTCCAGCCCTTCTTAATTTTACTTTATTTTATTTACTTGTGTATATTTTTTGCAGTACTGAGATTTGAACCCAGGGTCTCACACATTCTAGGCAAGTGCCGGACCACTGAGCCCTACACTTTGATTTTGAGACAAGGTCTTACAAAATTGCCAAAGCTGACCTTGAATTTGAGATTCTCCTCCCCCAGTCTCTTCAGACTCTGGAATTGGAGGCATATGCCACTGTACCTGGCTTAATATACTAGTTTTAATACACAAGACCTTGTCCTTATGCATCATATAACAATGGAGGTTTATTTTGAGGATTGCATCCTTAGGCGACCTCATTATGTGAACATGTAAAGTGTATACAAATTAAGACTGGTATGGGTCTGAGGTTGTGGCTCAGGGGTAGAGTGCTCACCTAGCACGTGCAAGGCACTGGGTTGGATCCTCAGCACCATATAAAAGTAAAATAAAGGTATTGTGTCCAACTACAACTAAATAAACAAAATATTTTAAAAAATTAAAACTGGTACAATGTCACTAGGTAGTATAATCTTACAGGACCACTGACCTGTGGTTCATTTTTGACTGAAACATTATGCATCACATGACTATTGTTACTTGTATAGAGTTTCAGAGTGTTTCTTAGTTCATAATTTAGTAAAATATATTTTTTTGGAACAAAGAAAAATACAGACATTTTATATTCATTTTATAAATAACAATGAGCTTGGTAATGATATATTTCTTAGTATATCAAACATCATATACTTAGGTAATAATTTTACTAGTTTTCTTCTTCTAGTTTTCTTTTCTTTCTGTTGTTTCTATCTAGTAACTGTTAGAGTAAATTCTTGTATGCCCTACCCTTCACTGCCCCCATCCTAGAATGATCATAAAAAATCTAAGTCAACCTGGTCTTCACTGCCCTTTTTCACCCTTCCTGTTTTTATCCATTTCCTGTTAAATGGATGGTCCCTCATCTGGATCAGGGGGCCAACTGTTGACTTATTTAAGAAGCTGTGGCTTAAATACCTCAAGTTAATGAGGCATGCCAATTAGAATCTTACATTTTCTGCTGAATCTATTATTACTTTCCTTCTAAATTCTCAAGGACTAAAAAGAATCTGGTTTATGATATTAGGCTGCTGAAATCTACCCTCCCTCATTCCAATTAAAATCTAGAATGGTTCACATAAAACAGTAAGCTTACAGTTTACATTCAGCATGAGGTTTGCAAAATTCCAGTCTTTTGTTTTTTTAGTCTTCAACACCTTGTTTAGCCACCTGATAGAAGCAAAACTATACAACATCCTGCCATGTCACCCCAAAAACAATGTTTTTACTCGTTTTTATTTTATTTTTTTGTTTTTGTTTGTTTACCATGCTGGAGTTTGAGCCCATAGACTCACACATACTATGTAAGCACTCTATCACTGAACTGCATCTCCAGGCCACACTTTTTTGATAGCTGAATGGGTCATTAGCAAAGGACCTATAGTGCTTTTTAAAGAGGGAAACAAATAAAATCTGGGCATGGTGGAACATGCCAACATGCCTGTGATCCCAGGGGTTTGGGAGACTGACACGGGAGGATTGTAAATTTAAAACCAGCTTCAGCAACTTAGAGAGGCCCCAAAGCAACTTAGCAACACCCTATCTCAAAATAAAAAGGGCTGATGATATGGTTCAGTGGTTAAAGGCCTCTGTGCTCAATCCTTGGTACCAAAAAAGTGGAGGGGGGGCAAAAATTTGATATAATATTGCTTGCTATCTAGCAAGTCAATAAAGCACCAATCAGAAAAAAAAAAAATGTCTACAAAGCATGCCAGGTTAGGGACAAACTGAGTATCGATTCATTTGTAAAGAAATCTTTAAAGCATCTTTATAGAATACTCTTTAAATATGTTTAAAAGAGTAGATGGAAAAAGCTGGTTATGAACATACATTAGTTATATGATCTTTTGTTATTTTTTTTAAAAAAAAAAGGACATCAGACTGGGAGTGCAGCTTGGTGGTAGAATTTTTGCTTACCATATGTGAGGCCCAAAAATGTACATTTATAAATGTAGGGAAAAAAATATATATATATAATCTCAAAAAAATTGATATTTGCCAAAATATTAAATAATCCATTGTAGCTATCTTGGAATTGTAAGTGATTTTTTTTTTCCTTGTGGGTATTTTTTTTCCCTGTCTGCTTATAAAAAAGGAGAAAATGACCATCAAAGAGAAAAAAAACAAATCTGTTTTCATCTGTTTCTCCACATATTCTTCCTTCTCTTCCCCTAGATTAATGAAGTAGACCTTATACATCATATTTTATTCATAAACACATTAGTATATATTCCTAAGAATAATGTATTTCTTTTACCTTATTTTGGGGGATACTGGGAATAGAACCCAGGGCCTTGTTCATGCTACGCAGGTATTCTGCCACTGAGCCACATCCTGAGTCCTATATCCTCTTTTTAAAACCTACTGATTGGGGCTGGGGTTGTGGCTCAGTGGTAGAGTGCTTACCTAGCATGTGTGAGGCACTTGGTTCGAGCCTCAGCACCACATAAAAATATACAAATAACACGTAGAAAAAAACCTACTGATGCTATCATTAGCACACTTAAGAATATTAACAGTAATTCTTTAATATTGTCACATAATTTACTAGGTATTCATTTTCACTCATTCGTTTTTGTTACTGTGAGTTAAGCCCAGTGGAGTTAAGCTGCATCTACATCTCCTAGCCCCTTTTATTTTTTTATTTTGAGACTTAACATCTCACTAAGTTTCTAGACTGGCCTCTAACTTTTGATCCTCCTGCTTCAGCCTTCTGAGTATGCATCACTGTGCCCAGCTGCTAAATGTATTTTTWAAAAAWWTTTTTTTTTAATATTTATTTTATTTAGTTCTCAGTGGACACAACATCTTTGTTGGTATGTGGTGCTGAGGATCGAACCCGGGCCGCACGCATGCCAGGCGAGCGCGCTACCGCTTGAGCCACATCCCCAGCCCTGCTAAATGTATTTTTAATTTAATTTTTAAATGTTTTAAGAAATTTTATCATAATTGTATGATTGTTTTCTTTCCACATTTTTTATTGGTTCATTATTATAGTTATACATAATGATGGGATTTGTTGTTAAACATTTACACATGCACACAATATAACAATATAATTTGGCCAATATCTCTTCTCAACACTTTCCCCCTCCCTCACCTCCCTGATGCCTTTCCTCTACTGATCTCCCTTTGAGTCCTGCCCCTGCCCACCTTTTTTTTTCTTCCTCTTTTTCCTCTTACCTACACATATGAGAGAAAATATAACCCTTGACCTCCTGAGTAATGGTCCTTCGTTCCATTTTCCTGCAAATGTCAAACGTGTTTTAAAGCTGGTTTATTTGAATCAAAGTTTGTGCATTGTTTTTGGTTGATATGTTTTGTTTTTTGTTCACTGAAATATAATTCACATAAAATTTGCCCTTCTGAAGTCAGGTCAGAGATTTTAGTATATTCACATTAGTTCATATAGACCTAGAAATGTGAATAGTGAGACCTTCTCAAAATGAATGGGAATTCAGTTTTATTTTAACATTAAAAAAAAAAAAMAACCTTAGTGTCATGGTACACTCCTGTCATCCCAGATTCTCAGGGGGCTGAAGCAAGAGAATTGCAAGTTGGAGGCCATCTGGGCAATTTAGGAAAACTCTGTCTTCAAAATAAAAATTACAAAGGGCTGAGTCTGTAGCTCAATGACAAAGCACCCCTGAGTTCAATCCCCAGTATTGGAAAATTAATTAACTAATTAATTTAAAATAAAAAATAATATAAGAGGGATGAATACAAAACACTTGCAGATTATATTGAATACTTTTTTGGAGGGGGTTACTGAGGATTGAACCCAGGGGCACTTTTACCATTGGGCTATATCCCCAGGCCTTTTTAATTTTTTGAGACAGAGTCTCATTAAGTCACTACAGACCTCCTAAATTACTGAGGCTGGCCTCAAACTCATGGTGCTTCTGCTTCAGCTTCTGGGATTATAGGCATGGACCACCATGCCCAGTAATATAGAATACATGTGGGTAGGAAAATGCCAAGTTAATGGCCATCAGTTGTAGAAGTAACTCATGAAGACTTTTAAAAAAAAATTTTTTTTAGATGTTGATGGGCTTTTATTTATATGCATTATTTATATGGCATTTATTTATATGCAGTGCTGAGAATCGAACGCAGTGCCTCACTCATGCTAGGCAAGTGCTCTATCACTGAGCCACAACCCTAGCTCCTCATGAAGCTTTTGTGCATAGGCAAATGAACTGGGTTTAACTATTTAAAGGTTATTTAAACCGTGTTTTAAAAAGTCGGAAGTTGAGCTGGGTATGTAGCTCAGTAGTAGAGCCTTTGCCTAACATATATGCAAGGCTCTGGGTTTAGTCCCCAGCACTGCAAAATAAATAAATAAAATAAACTTTAAAAAGTAAAAGCTAAAAGTCACTGTACAGGTCTATGAAGAAAGTATGTCACGTAAGAAAGCCTGGTGTATAATAGACATTAACAGTTGTGTGAGGAATGAAGGGGAGAAAATAAGTCATCTGACACAACATACATCAACAAAAAAAGTGTTGTCAATCAAACTAGAAAATGGTAGTCCATAAAATGAAATTTCTACACCCTGGTGACTATATTTCAAGAAAGACAGAATGAGAAGATCCAGAAAAGGACAATTTAAAGAAAGAAATTAGGGGGCTGGCGTTGTGGCTCAGTGGTATCGTGTAGCAAGCACGAGGCCTTGGGTTCGATCCTCAGAACCACATAAAAACAAATAAAGGTATTGTGTCCTACTACAATTAAAAAATAAACATTAAAAAGAAAAAAGAAAGAAATTAGGGCTGGGGTTGTGGCTCAGTAGTATAGAGTGGTTGTTTCACAGATATGAGGCACTGGGTTTGATCCTCAGCACCACATAAAAATAAAATAAAGGCATTGTGTCAATCTACAACTAAAAATAAAACATTAATAAGAAAGAAAGTAATGTGATAAGAAGATTACATTTTGCCCAAATGTATAGTGAATGAGGGAATACAGTCAAATATTAAAATTGACAGAAGTGAAAGAGGATTGTAAAATCAGGGTATCTACTTTTTGATACATATGAAAAAGGTAATTTGGAACAATAAAAGAAATTCTAAAATGTTTGCACCTCATTTCCCCAAGAAGCAGTAGAGCTTATCATGAAGAGTTTCAAATTTGTATGTATTTATGGATTTTTGTGGGAAATAAAAATGTTTGAGGTTCAGAACATCTCAGGCCTTTGAAGCTCATAGGATATGAATAGCAAGGCTGACTGATAAGTCCCTTGCCTGTTCTTGCCCAAGGCAAAATACTGGGGCTAGATGAACTTTTTTTTGTTTCTGTTTTTGTTAGCATGATAGATTTTCTTATTATGGGAAAAGCCTAGCATATTTATCTTTATAGCCCTTTGTCTTTCCATTAGTGTTAAAAACTGGAGTTCTTCTAAAAGGTCAAAAAGTAAATGAATTTGTTTGTTTCATTCTCTGTCAGAGTTTAATATAGACTTCTTTGGGACTGCTTAGAAACCAAAGAATATTAGTATGAAGTATAAACTTACTGGGTATTTTTATTTGTCCTCCTCTGTGGAAATATTTTGTCAGCCCTTAGTTATTTTCTTGGTAATCCAGTAACAAGTAACGAGAGTTGGTTTCATTTCCTTGTGCATTCCTTCTGCCATCGTGTAGACCTTTTGATGTTTTAGACAAGAGACTGCATACATATGGCTAGCTGAAATACTTAGTTTTTCTTTTCTTTTCTTTTCTTTTTTTTTTTAATGTTGGGGATCAAATGGAGGGACTCAGGAATGCTAGGCAAGTGCTCTCCTATTAATTCTTTTTTCAATATGTAATTCTTCTTTTTGTTTTTATTACTGAGGATTGAACCTAGGGCCTTGCATATACTAGGTAAGGACTCTACAACTTAGCTGCATTTTCAGCCCAATATGCAATTTGTTTTGTAGTTGTATATGGACAGAATGCCTTTATTTTGTTTGTTCATTTATATGTAGTACTAAGGACAGAAACTAGTGCCTCACACATACTAGGCAAACGCTCTGCCACTGACCCACAGCCCCAGCCCACATTTTTTTTTTTTTTTTGGAAGGCAACAGACTAGTTTGTTATAAATTTTGATGGCTTACCTTTTGTGTTATTAGGTACAGGTTATAATGCCTCCTTTTATATTTGATTTTTCATGATTTTTACAATATAGGTCATAATTTTTAAAAAGTTTTTATTTTCAAATAATAAAAGAATATGGTTTAAACTATAAAAAGTACAGAAAGAGGTGCATCAAAAAATAGATTTTTTTTTCATCTTTGTTGACACTCACCTAGTTCCTCTTAAGCAACCACTATTTTTAGTTTTTTATATTTTTTTTTCCAGARATACTGTAGGGCTATACAAACTTATGTGTGTATATGCATTTTGTTTTTGTTTCATGAATGATCCCTCATTCTCCTGTATCTTTCTTTCTTTCTCTTAAAGTAAATTTTGGTAGGGTATGAGTGGGAACTGATTAATTAATTAATTAATTTGGTGATTGAGTACTGAACAGTCTCTTTTCAACTCTATTGGATGACCAGAATTCATTAAATTAGTCTGCATTGAGTTGTTTTTAGTCTTCTGTTATTATAAATAATACACGGTTATTTTTATATAATAATTCTACCACCCTATCATATAAAATATTCAGAAATATATGTAATATTGAGAAAAAGATTCTAGTAGGGGTTAGTGTTTTATGAAATAAACATATGAAATATAATGATACATCTGAGTATAATTTTCCAGTAGTTTGATATAAAAAAATGCATTATAAGAATTTCAGAGTCAAAGGCCAAAAGTTCTCCCTGTAAGTAGATGCTGATGCACAATGAGGGGCATGGGAAGAATGGGGAAACTTTGGGCAAAGGGGAAGGAGGAGACATCATTACCCTAGGCACATGTATGACTGCACATATGGTGCAACTCTACATTGTAAACTACCAAAGAAATGAAAAGCTGTGCTTCATTTGTATACAATGAACAATGCATTCTGCTGTCATGTGTAACTAATTAGAATAAAAAAAGAAAAAAAAAGAATTTCAGAGTGTCTCTCCCCGCCTCTATCTTTACATTGAAGATTTTGGTGCCTCTGATTTTGCTCCGACAAATGCTTTTGGAGTTGACAAGACGTGGTCAAGAACCTTTGAGTACCCTGCTACAATTCGGAGTGACATATCTGGAGGACTATGCAGCAGAGTACATCATTCAGCAAGGTGGCTGGGTATGAATTATTGTTTTTTATTTAAAAGAAATTAGGCCCATTGTTTTTTTAAACAGCATTGGGTTATGTCTGTATTAGATGATGATCAGTGGAAAAGTTATTCATACAGTTTCAGTTAAGTTACTAAGATTTTACTTATAGTAAATTGATATATGAGACTTTTAAATACTTATTAATTATGAAATATTTCATACTAATAAAAATATATAAATAACTAAGGATGAATAATAATAAAATGAACACCAGTGTGTTTATTGCCTCAGTCCAAGAAAAAAATATGGTTAACATTTTGCAAGAGTGGTGCTGGCGATTGAATCAAATCCTTACACATGCTAAACAGCACTCTGCCACGGAGCCATACCCCCAGCCCACACAGCAACTCTTTTGAATCTCCTTATATTCCCCTCCTGAATTTTGACATACTCATATCTGCCTCACAATTTTCTGAAGTTTTTAAATTATAGCTTAATTATATATATATGTATATTCTAGACAATAAGTTATTTTGTATGCTTTGAACTTCATCTAAATAGTATCATACTACACATATTCTTCTGTAACTCACTTCTTTTACTCAATATAATAGTGTTTTGTTTTTTATTATCAAAATTTGAGTATGAAGACAGAAATGGTGTGACTCTACTTTATGTACAACCAGAGACATGAAATATTGTGTTCTGTATGTGTACTATGAATTGAAATGCATTCTGCTGTCATAGCAAATTAGAATAAATAAATAATTTTTTTAAAAAAGAACAAGAAAAATTAAAAAGTACTTGAGACAGGGTCTTCTTATTTAATTGCCCAAGCTGATTTGGAGAGTAGCTGGGATTATAAATGTGTGCCATTGTACCGATATTATGTCTTTGTAGTTTACCTAAGTCAGTTTCTTAACTTTTTTTCATTATCACCTCACTAAGGATTTTTTCCCCCCAGTATGGGGAATAGTACTCTGGGGCATTCAACCACTAAACTGTATTCCAAGCCCTTTTTTTTTTTTTTTTTTTTTTTTGCGGGGGTGGGGGGGTTAGTGCTGAAAACTAAACTCCAGGCTTTAGGGCTTAACATTTACTAGGCAAGTTTTCTGCTATGAAGCCACATCCCCAGCACCCCCAGCCCTTTTTTTTTTTTTTTTGAGAGAGAAAGAGAGAATTTTTTCATATTTATTTWTTTTTTTTAGTTTTTGGCAGACACATCTTTATTTGTATGTGGTGCTGAGGATTGAACCCAGCGCCACGCGCATGCCAGGCAAGTGTGCTACCTCTTGAGCCACATCCCCAGCTCCACCCCCACCCCCAGCCCTTTTTATTTTATTTTTATTTTTGGAAATGGTCTTGCTAAGTTGCCAAGGCTAGCCTCAAATTTGTGATCCTCCTGCCTTAGTGTCCTAAGTTACTAGGATTACAGGCATGTGCTACTATGTCTAAATCTAAGGATCCTTTCTAGACATCTTTTCCCCCTAATAATCTCCTCCTTCCCCCAATGGAATTTTAATGTTTGTTTATTAGGTACTGTGTGGCCTTTTGCAGGGCCACAAACAATTGTAATGTGTAACATTTCCCCTGTGTCTCTGAAACATTTTTCACCCTTAATATCATTCCCATTGAGAATGAATGATCTAGGTTGATTCATTGGCTAGTGTTTGTTGTAAAAATATGACAGTTTATTTTCAATGGGTATTTCCACTATTTTGCTAATGCATATGTGTAAGAATTTCTGTGTAGAATTTCTGGATCATAAAGTTATAGACAAGTTTTGATTTACAAAATAATGAGTTTCTGTCACTCTGCATCTTCCCCTTTACTTGGTTAAAATATCAGTCATGTATAGCCAAGATTGTTTTAAGAAAGAAGCAAGGGTTGGCATGGAGATGCATGCCTATAATCCCAGCTACTCACGAGACTAAGGCAGGAAGATCTTAAGTTTGAGGATAGCCTCAGTGACTTAATGAGACTGTGTCTCCAAATAAAATAAAAGGGGGTTGGAGATACACCTCAGTAATAGAATACATATCTAGCATGTGTTAGGCCCTGGATTCAATCCCCAGTACTGCAATAAAAGAAAAACAGAAAAAAAAATGAATTTGTCCTTCCTAGGATTTATCTCTATATCTTATCTTTTTACATCAATTTATCGTGTACCAAGCAATTATTAATCATGCAACAAGCTCTTGAGTGCCTGTTATACACTATGCTCTATCCTGGACTTGACTGCTATGAATAAAGAAAATCCTTGACCCAAAGGAATTTATATTCTCATGGAAGTAGACAAACAATTAAGATATATAGCCAGGCACGGTGGCATATATCTGTAATCCCAATAGGCTGAGACAGGAGGATGGAGAGTTCAAAGCCAGCCTCAGCAATTTAGTGAGGCCCTAAGCAACTCAGCATGACCCTGTCTCTAAATAAATATAAAAAAGGTCTGGGGATGTGGGTCAGTGGTTAAGGCCTCTGGGTTCAATCCCTGATACCAAAAAAAAAAAGGCAGTGTATCCAGTAGTTACATATGCCATGGAAAAAATAAGACAGGAAAACATAAATGGGATAGGACTTGAAGTTTTTATATCAGCCAAGTGAGAACTCACTGCTGTCTAAGCAAAGATTGTACTATTCTCCCTGTTTTAATCCCACCTTATTCTCTTTTTTCTATTTATACCCTAGGAGTAGAGTTTTCTATTTCTTTTTTTCCCTCTCTTTGATGGTGTGTGTGTGTGTGTGTGAGAGAGAGAGAGAGAGTCTGTGCCTGTGTATCTTGGGATTTGAGGGTTTTTGTTGTTGTTTTGGGTGGTGCTAGGGATGTAACCCAGACTTTCACATATGCTAAGCATGCATTTTTAAGCTGTGTTAAGTTGTAATTTACCTAATAGTTAGTGATAGTATAGTGATTTTATAAACTTTGTGAAAGTTTTCAGCCTAAAAGTAACATGGAACTTTACATTTGCACATTAAACTTTTTAGCCACTATACATCTAAGAATTTGAGCTAATAAAAAAAGTGGAAATTTAATTAACATGGATACTAATGTAGAGTGTATTAGATTTAGATACTTGTTAAATGCTTTTTTTTTTTTTTTTTTTGGTATTGGGGATTGAAACCAGGGAACTTAACCACTGTGCCACATCCCCCTTTTTTGTATTTCAGACAGGGTCTCACTGAGTTGCTCAGGTCCTTGCTAAATTACCGAGGCTGGCTTTGAATTCACAATTCTCCTGCCTCAGCCTTCCAAGCTGCTGGGATTACAGGCGTGCACCACTGCACCTGGCTGTTAAACACTTATTGAATGAAATGCTGAGCATTTGTAGGAAAATAAGAAGTATTCTCATGCTGCTGTTTTGTTTTTGGTATGGGAGATTGAACCCAGAATGCTTAACATCCCCAATCATTTATTTATTTATTTTTTGAGAGAGAGAGAGTGTGTGTGTGTGTGTTTTTTTTTTTTTAGTTTTCTGTGGACGCAACATCTTTATTTTATTTTTATGTGGTGATGAGGATCGAATCCAGCTTCCCGCGCATGTCAGGTGAGCGTGCTACCGCTTGAGCCACATCCCCAGCCCCCTTTTAATTTTTTTATTTTGAAATAAGATCTTGCAAAGTTGCTTAGGGCCTCACTCAGTTTCTGAGGCTGGCTTTTAACTTGCAATCTTCCTGCCTCAGCCTCAAGTGAGCCACTGGGATTATGGGCATATGCCATTGTGCTCAGCTCCTGTTGTTGTTAAAAATAAGAACTATGATAAATTGTTGCCATTTTTTTTCCTATTCTAGGGTTCTCTTCTTCTTTCTTCCACCACCCTCCCTCCCCCTTTTTTTGGCCAGTGTACTGTGTGATTCCTGTGAGAGCCAAGGGACGCCTCAGGTTAATTTCCACTTAGCTTATGTGGCGCTTTACAACAAAGGAAGAAGAAAAACACAGAAGAGTGTTATATATTCCCTTCCTGATTCTGTTTTATTATGACAGTGCATTAAAGTTTGTCTATGGTTATAATTGCTAGATGGAAAGTATTTGATTTAACTCAAATATTTGCGCTAAAGACAGAAAGTTACCATATGAATAACAAGTTTATTAATATTTTAAATATGATTTCATCTGTAAATTTAAATGTCTGATCTGTATTTCACATTGTTAGGTCTAAGCCATCCATTTCTTTGTATTTAATACCAAGATACTGGTATGGGGCTGGGGTTGTAGCTCAGTGGTAGAGCACTTGCCTGGCATGTGAAGCACAGGGTTCGATTCTTAGCACTGCATATATATATATATATATATATATATATATATATATAGATCCATTGACAACTAAAAGAAAAAAGATCAAAATAAATAAATAAAACCAAGATACTGCTTTTCTGCCAGTCAGTGTAGTTGTTTTCTCTGAAACAAAGTGTCAGCATATATCACCTATTAGGTCCTTTTGTTGAACATTAGGTTGTCAGCTCTTAAAACCATTCCAGAAGAAAAGCATTTCATTACATGATGTAGCATGTCTGTTATATTAAGTCTATAGTATGATTTCCACAAGGAATGTGTTTGTTTTCACCACTTGACAACATCAGGGTGAAACAAACTGCATAGCTCTCTGTGTGGACTAATTTTGAAAACCTACAGAGAAGGAGAAAGTGCTGGCAGCCATATCTGTTTGGTAATGGGATGATGGTATGTAGTTGGTCAAGCTTTGGGCATAGATTTGCAGAGAGAAAAATATTTTATTAACTAATTTATTAACAAAATGGCTGAGATAAATGTGTTTTGGAGTTTTGCAGATGGTTTTGCTTTTTTAATGACCATTGTTTTGTGATTATTTTCTTAGTATATTTAAGCTGATTTTTCCTTTGTATTGGTATTGAAAGAGCATTTATTGAGTTTTAGATATGATGTGATGAGTTTGACTTTAAAGTGGCTGCAAGTTGAGGTGTTAAAAGCAAACAACGGGCTGGGACTGGGGCTCAGCAGTAGAGTGCTCGCCTAGCACATGCAAGGGGCTGGGTTCGATCCTCAGCACC